GAACCCAAATTCTTTTTTAAAAGTAAATGGGAGAAATTTATTATATGCATTTGAGAATTGAATTTGGGGTGGTCGACAAGTAAATAAGACAAGCCAATCATATTCATAAATTAAACAAATTTTAAGACATATATTTGCTACCACTTTCTTAATTTTACTAGATTTTGTTTTAAACAGCTCTTGTGAGAATCATATTGCATTTATGGTGGTTTAATCAGATTACCTATTAAAAATAACCGTGTGGAGGCTTTCAGTTATAGGAGGCGTTCGATCGTATGGCGGAGCTATGCAAAAGGAACATCGAAAGTAGTTTCTGGAGTTAGGTCATTCTTTTTAATGGATCAGTCAGAAGGCTTACTGAAATGACAAAGCAGACGTCTATTGTTAGAATAAATGAAAGAAGAAAAATTGCAATTAGTATGTTATCGCAAATGACGGCTACGACAGCCTTCAGAGCGTTTACCCATCTCTAACAAAAATCTCTTTTAGTGGATTTATTATCTACCACTTTTTTTAAAAAATAATTTCTATTTGCAAATATCAAATTTTGGAAGTGAATTACCTGGTGATCCTAGTCCAGAAGATCCGTAGGATTATTAAATTAATACAGCGATCAGGTCGCTGTTTTAGCAGAAGATTAATAAATGNAGACATAATATTCGCAAGAGGAATGTTTTTCTCTTTAAAATAATCTTTGAAAGTATTAAAAATAGATTTACCTTTGATACCTACAATCAAGCTTTTTGTAAAAAGCATCTCTTGAATAATTTTTCCTACCTTTACAAACCGGACCTATGCCTACAGTAAAGCTTACATTACCTGGCAAGGTTGATTTATCAACTTGAAGGGAAAATTCGCTGGATATCAAAAGTTTGCGTAACGAAATTTCAACGTCATCAGCCAATTCATCATTTCGTCGCCGCACTGTATCGTTGCTTACGGGATATTTTTTTATTACAATGGATGCGACTGGATGGTGTAAAACTGTTTCTAAAACTTCCTTGACAAACGGCAGTATCAACTCTGTTCCGATGGTATGAGCTTTCCCAGATTTAGCAATAAATTTTGATATATTATAAGAAGCTATTAAACCATCGTCGCATTTTTGTGATGAGGTTGCTAGTAACCCAGAGACCGAAGGTGCTTTCAGAAGCGTGAAAGAAGATGTTCATGAAAAATGTCAAATCTTTATTTTGTTTATCAGGATAAGTTTTTTGCAAATGCTTCTGATAACGGTAAGATTTCATTACCTCATTAGATAAAACTTACTTTGTAATAAAAAAAAAATTATTACAAAGTAAACAGATGGGTAGTTGAGAGTTCAACAGTGATTGAACAAATCCCAACTTCAAGTATGTGGCACTGTATTGATGACACCTCTTTTTATTAACCGACATTGTTGGTGGCTGGGGAAAACACTGTAATGAAGCTAAGAAAAATCATTATAAGAAACACGGGTCAAATCAAAAATTCATACTGAAAGCGCAATGACTTCAATTTTCACCAAATGGCTTGATATAAGTCAAAGGCAAAAGGTACAGACTCATGCGCTGAGGTGTGTTGGTTCGGATCGGAGAATAGGTGCCGTATAAGTACGTTTTATTGCTGGTACAAATGGTGTACCGGATAATCTTTATTTATTATATTAATTTAATTTTTTTTCTCTTTAATATTAATTTTATTTATTAAATAAATCTTAATTTAATAATTTTATTTCTAAGTTTTAAATTTGAATGACAAAACATGCTCATCGCCCCCTACGGCCCAAAATATACCCAACGCCCCCCTACTGCCCAAAAGAAGTTCACCGCCCCTCAGCATACTCCCAACGCCCCCAGGGGGGCGGTATCGCCCCCGTTGAGAACCAATGGTCTATATGGTCTTGTAGTTTTTGAAGAGCATGATTTGGGTTTTTTAAAAGTAAATGGGAGAAATTTATTATATGCATTTGAGAATTGAATAAGTGGTGGTTGACAAGTAAATAAGACAAAAAACCATCATAAATTAAACAAATTTTAAAACATATATTTGCTACCACTTTCTTAATTTTACTAGATTTTGTATTAAACAGCTCTTTTGAGAATCATATTGCATTTTCATTTATGGTGGTTTAACCGGTTAACGCCCAGCGTCCTATATTAAGGACAGTTTATTTTTTCAAAAGCATTCATTGTGGTGGGAAACTTTTTCAGCATTTTTATTTATCTGGGTGAATTAAAAGATTCTCAAATACCACAATGATTTAGTTTTTTCTGATTAGATCTAGAATTATAAGGAGCAAGTACTGTTTGATCTATCAAAGACTTTTTGAATGCCCTAACAATAGAAAAAATAATTAATTTCGAAAATATATTATACCACTTTTTCCATAAAACCACTTTTTGTATCATATCAATATATAAATTCGGGACAAAACGGGTTAATCAGATTACCTATTAAAAATAACCGTGTGGAGGCTTTCAGTTATAGCAGGCGTAGGATCGTATGGAGGAGCTAATCAAAAGGAACATCGAAAGTAGTTTCTGGAGTTAGGTCATTCTCTTTAATGGATCAGTCAGAAGGCTTACTGAAATGACAAAGCAGACGTCTATTGTTAGAATAAATGAAAGAAGAAAAATTGCAATTAGTATGTTATCGCAAATGACGGCTACGACAGTGNCCGAGTTTTCGGCTTCACGAATTTCTGCTAGTGTCTCCTCCATCTACTCCTAGCTCCATGGCTACGACAGCCTTCAGAGCGTTTACCCATCTCTAACAAAAATCTCTTTTAGTGGATTTATTATCTACCACTTTTTTTAAAAAATAATTTCTATTTGCAAATATCAAATTTTGGAAGTGAATTACCTGGTGATCCTAGTCCAGAAGATCCGTAGGATTATTAAATTAATACAGCGATCAGGTCGCTGTTTTAGCAGAATATTAATAAATGTAAATAACTCTTCATATTCGTTGTCGAACTATGGTTAACATATCTGTATATTATTTTTGTATATAGTCTTATTATTAATTGCATTACATTTTCTTTATCCATTTGTTTTTCTTTCTGACTATGGGGATCTTCCCCCTACTAATAACTAGCATAAGTTTATTCCCTTATGACCTGAAATCATAGGACAATAGAGAATGGACAAATCGGCTAATAGCCAACATCCAGTTAAGAAAAATTATACTCATTAAATTTCCTCTATTTCCCCATTATCATTTGTAAATTTCCGACGGATCCATAAACTGAAAAGCCTCCGCACGGTTTCTAACACGTTGTCTGTTCAAACCACTCTAATGATAAACAAGTTTGCTAAATAGTCATCTGAAACAAAATCTAGTAAAATTAAGAAAGTGGTAGTAAATATATATCTTAAAATTAGTTTAATTTATGAATATGATTGATTTGTCTTATTTACCTGTCAACCACCACAAATTTAATTCACAAATATACAGGATAAATCCCTCCCAATTATTTATAAAAAAGAATTTGGATTCATGCGCACAGCTGGTTCACTTTTTAAACAGTCTGCGCAGACTACTTATAAAAAACCGTGTGGAGGCTATCTGATGTAGAAGGCGATGGCAGTGCACAGAAATCTGCTTGATTTCCAATTCAGGAGAAATTATACCTAAAAAATTAGTTTTCTCAAAAGTCCTTAAAAATCTTCGAATTTGGAATAAAGACCATGAAAATTTTCGTTACCGATATCCCTGGTTCTGCAATATTAATTAGTAGTGCGAAGCGTATTAATTTATTAACTAATCAGAAATATATCTAAGAACAAGATGCTACATTTCAGATAGGATATTAATTGCTTTTTTTATTTATTTGCAAAGAGAAAAAAATGGCGTGATGAGCAAATGACGGTTATAGCAGTCGAGAGTATTCATGAAAAAACTCTGGGAAAATGTGATAATTTTCACTTTCAAACAACCACTACTTCATATGGAGATGATAAACAATGGGATACCTGCAAGTGACATAGTGTTTGTTGGTAACCCGATTCTGATTGGTTGTCGAAAAGTGGCATTTGTTTAAGATAGCAACTGTTCTTTTCACTCTATTTCGAGTAACCCAAGCCCATAAAATGTCAATTCTCTTAAGTGTCTCGGTGACATTTGTTTTTGTTAGCCACTGTTCTTTCCATTCAATTTTGAGTAAGCCTATCCCGTGTTCCATATTCTTTAAAAAAGATTTAAATTATTTTGCTATTCATTTCTTATTTAACACAAAGACTGGTACGAAGCCATTTAGAACATAAACTAATTAGACAACGAAGTTGCCAGATTCGAAAAACAAACATGTCAGTTGCAATAGAAAACAAATAAATATAGGCAAAATAAAAGACACAGACTAGAAAGAATTATATTTCGACAAAATCGATATGCGATACGACTTTGTACTTAATTAACTTCACGTTAATTAACACCCTAGCTTATGCGGCGAGATTTGGCTCGACTTCAGTACGCCATCTTGTTTGTAAACAATCACCTGGCGCTGAAGTTATAGTCTAAGTGTTTGTGTTTCAGTGTCCTTCTTCTTAAGTTGCAAGTACCCAATTGAAAAAAAAATGTCCTTCTGAGCACGATCATCAAATTACAAGTGCGTGGCAACCTTTTAAAAAAAAGTCTTACGAAAGCTAAAACTGCAAGTTAAAAGTGATTATGCAAGATGATAAAAAATAGGTAATTTTTAGTGACTTACAAATAAATGCTCCAGTATCAAATAGAGAGATACAATTACGAAATTTATTCATTTGCTTGAATGAAAGCTTTAGTATTTAGAGCATATGTTTTATAAACCAAAAGTTAATAACACGAAATTATTATTTCTGTTTAAAGCAAAAAAGCACGATTTTTACACACGTGAATAGAAATGACAAACAGCTTTTATTACCGTAATTTTAAAACGAAAGCCATTTTATCCATCTTGTAGAATGTAATGCATGGAGCAAATCAATAAATTTAAATCATAATCTAGTAATAAAATATATATTGGAGATAAATTTCTTGCATAAGTCGTACTTTTAAGGTTATATTTGAGGCTTGAATAAATACTCAAAAGCTATGTACATTGCTGTCTGTGTGTACGTAAATTAACGAGCCAATCATAACTCGATAAGTAAATATTGCATTTCTAATTTTATTGCGTAATATCAATAACATGGGTTTTTTTTATTATTTCGTGGAAAATTTTTCTACATATAAGTTTGAAGATTAGAAATGGCTTACTGTATTTTTGTTTTACTTGCAAAAGCACATTGAGTTGGTTGAACATCAAAAGAGTAAGTCAATATGTTTGTAATAAGTTAATTGCACTGGGAAACAATTTCTTTGTTGTACATATGCAAGTATTTGAGTGGTATTTCTGATTTGAAATTAGCCTTGTTTCGAAAGCTACAGATTTTTTCAAAATGATATTCTTAGCTTAGTTTATTCTTTGACTGAATATACAAGCATATAAAGAACGCGTATTGCGTTAAATACATAAATATACACTTGTCTGTTTCTTTGAAAATAACAAAGACATATGACCTTAACGTATCGCATCATAAAATGGAATGTATTATTGCCTACTTTCTACCACTCCCTACTCAGCAGATGAAGTGGAGAAGTAAAGTAATCACTTGAGTGAATTTAAAAAAATATTGGTTGCGATTATGTCATTGAATTGCTTAAAAACTGTAGCGTGTAGAGATAAACCAATTGCAGATTTGATATCACGGATGAGAAAATATCAAAGATCCGTTAAAAAATATCATGCAGAAAAAAAAGTTGTTTCCCAAGGCTATTTATTAATTTTTAAGTTTTGCGCTAAACTGATTTATGTTATAAATTGGATATTTCAAGAAAAAAAATATCGTTAATGTTTGATTCAATGTTTCCTTTTTTATCTTTTCTTTTTTGTCTTTTTTTTTATTTTTTTAAGCACCTGCAAAACTGCAGTATATCGAATATTGAACGGTTAATTCATTAAGCATTAGTGGCAAACATTTTTTCGAAAGGTTAGTTCGTTATTTTATGGTCGAAAGAATATGGTAGCATATTATTAGAATTTATCTCGCAGAAGCAAGATAGTTTTGACTACCATAACAGAGATGCCCAACTTGCTCCGAACAACGAATAAATATTTTCGAGTGATTATCTTATAATGTTTAATTCTTGGCTTAGAAAATTCGATTTACAGATTTTATACTCACCACTACTTCGAAATAATTCGAAGGCTTAGGTGATACGTCACTTTTGTTACAGTTAAGCCGTGTTTAGTTTCTTAAAAAATTGACATAATTAACCGAAAATCTAGAAATTTTAGTTTGTACTTTCCCTTATCGTTTTTTAAAATAGTTTGTTGAATCCGGAGCAGCTGGCATCTCTGACATAATTTATTTGTTTATTGGAATTGCATACATTTGCAGGCTTATGTGCTTAATTTAGCACATAAGCCTGCTTTACAAACCTTTATCAAAAAGAGGAACAGATAGCACAAAATAGAGAGAATAGTACGAAGATATATCAAGAGGAACAGCGGGATTCGAACCCGCTATCTGCACAGTTTGCACAGGGTTTGGCGAGTGATACTGTTCGGCTAGTGCGGCTCCCTACTGCTAGAATATATTAGTAATTTTAATATGAGTATTGCTTTTTAAAACTACAGTGGTAGAAAACACAAAGACATATTCACTTGGAATAAACGCTTGCTCTGCGGTGGCTACGAATTACATCCCTCGAGTGGGTCCCTTGCTGTGATGTTTTTTTAAAAAGTTTCTCGCTGGTCGCTGCCCGGAAGTTACCCCGACTTGGCGATTATGCAGTTACAAAGAAAAAAGTATCTTACTGTTTAAAGCAATAAAATCTTTCAACTCCTTAATTCACAGCAACATTTGACAGCAAGATATTGCTTCTACACACTACTATGTAAACGAAAACAGGAACGCGCCATGAGCTAGTATTTCTCAGAGAGGTAATTCTTTACCAGCAAATTCAATTCTTTATCAGAAAATCCAATTTGACAGACTCACTGTACATGGATCTCATACAATTCAACGTCAAACTGTTTTAGTCTCGCTCTCTTAAATTAGAATCTTTTTTTGAACGCAATTGTTTGGCAGCTGTGAGAGAAGCAGTTTTTGATATTTAAAGAGTTTTTGTAATTTTCTGTTCAAGCGATAAAAATGTAATAGACTACGCCACACAGAGAGGCGTAACGCACAAAAATGTTTCACTTTTCGCTGTGTGACCCCATTCTAACTCAATTTATCACTAAATAAATTTCTTAGTAACCCCTTGTCAGTGAACTTGTTAAAGTCACACTCATCAGGTAATTTAAATTGACCTTTGAGAAAATGCCAGTTATTTTTGGTGAATATCAAAAATATTTCTTAGTGAATAAAAACGTCAGGCAACTGCTTACCAAACATATTTTTCCGTTGAGAGCCACCTAATTTATACTAGTTGAAACTGAAATTGGCGTCTCAAGGTTACGAGATTTAGCCACTCTCCTCATTTCGCCCCTCTTCGTTACCACGGTTTCCCACACCTTATTACACACCACAAAAGTATATTTCAACTTCTAACTTAAATGTACTGTCTTGGAAAAAAATATTTGCCAAACATGAATCGTTCTCTTATGGAGTTGGTAATAAAATACACCAATGTTTTTCAATTAAAATTTCGACCATAATATTCAATTGGGTTCTAGCACTTCAAGAAGACCTTACATATCCACACATGTGATCTATGACGTCAGCGCCTGCTCATCTTTAGCAGCAAGATGGCGCATTACAGTTGAGCTAAGTTTCTCTACATAAGTTAGAATGTTAATTAACGATAAGTTAAATAAATACAAAGCCGTATCGCACATCGAATTTGTTGAAATATAATTCTGACTCGTCTACTTCTTTTACTTAACTTATATTTATTATTTATTGATAAATTTTTGTTTAGTATACCTGACAACTTCGATGCGTAATTAGTTTGTTTATTTTCCACATGGCTTTGTGCCTGTTTTTGTGTTATGTTTCTGATTATATATATAGTGAAGGAATAGAACTCTTTGAGAAAGAATATTTGCAAAATAATTTTTAGAATGTGTCTCTTAAGAGAATCGATACTTGATGAGCTTGGCTCACACGAAATGGATTGGAAAGAACAGTTGCTAACGTAAGCAAATGCATGCCACTTTTCCACAACCGATCGGGATCGAGATACCCAAACTACGTCACTTGAAGGTAGCCTATCATCAATTTTTTTAAAAAATAGAACGTACATTTAACATCCTAAAAAGTTTTCCTCAAAAATAAATTTGTTTCGTCGCTTCCTTGGAAACGAAGTCTTAGATACAACTTTGGTCTGTGAAAAGCTAGATTCTCCCGCTTTTCAAAGCAAAGTAAATGGCTTCCCTTAGTCATTGGTTCTCTGATAGAACACAAACATTTAAAATTTTTGCCAGCCAATACTGCAAGTGATTTCTTTCGTGAGAAATTCCCCAGTCACAAATATCTTGCTTTCAAGTTCGTTGATATTTCAACAATTTTAATGTTTTGTTCAATTGTCTTTGTTCATTTTTGTCTGAAATGATGTAGCCATGGGAAATGTCAGTATATTTCACATTGTTCGAATCTGAAACGCATATTAATCGTTTGGACACTCTTTGATAGCCAAAGTGTCTTAATAACCTCAATTTTTCTCTGGATTACAGGGTAACATTGGCTAACTAAAAGGCCTTTTTTTTTTTAACTTTTTCGTTATTGCATATCGCTTAGCTGCTGAAGTGAAGCTACCTAGCGGTACACATGTGCACATTGCAAGTTAAGATGCCTTATTTTATTTTATTTTTGCAGATAGCAAATACCTCACTTCTAAATATAACACACAGAAGAAACTTGTGGCATATTAAGTGAGCTCAATACTTTTGGTGGTATTAATCCAATATACTTTTAGTAATATTATTCCAATATAGGTGAATGGAATAGTGACAATAGGTGAACCAAATACAGTGAACTCTCACTTATGCACCGGTGTAAGGGGCCAAGAGAAGAAAGCGCATAAGTGAAAAACTTCAAAATTCTAAATCGCAACGTAAATTGCAGTGACAATATGAATAAATATATTTCTAAAGATTAAATGTTAATATTTATACTGTTTTGGTATTTAGTACTATAATTAAACAAAGAAAATATTTAACATACCTTAAGACAATTTATTTCCTTACAAAATAATCTTAATTGTATTTGTTTTTGCCGACGTATTTCAAAAACAGTTTTCTCCAGTTCATATCAATGGGATAAGGGGGAGTTTCAGAGGCAAAATTAAATTGTAAATAGTTACGAATAGTCTAAAGCTTCCAATACTGTTGTGTGATTTGGAGGAACTTTATCATTCTCGTCAGTATCATCCACCACGTTCTCATCGTTCACAAGTTTTAGTTAGATATAAATGAACACTTCTTCACAAAAAAATTTGAGTTTTATGGGAGGGGGTGAAACATCATATGATAAATTTCTAAGAAAAGTACTTGACGTCATAATATGCTGCACAATAAATTGTTCGATTACTAATATCACTAAACAGATCACCTCCTTTTATTTACTTATAATGTCCATCTGACTGCAAGTAAGTGATCGCAGTCTCTTTCATCTTTCGTATTCCAGGTGTATTTTTTTTCTCTGGAAAACAGCATGGGAGTAAAACTAACCTCTGGACAAGAGGAATGGTCATTTTCTAAAAGATGAATGGACTTTCATTGTTGTTGGTGTAACAGATAAGACACCCTATTCAAAATTCTAGAAAGAATGTCTTTCCAGAAACAGCAAAAATGAAAAGGTCACAGGGGGAAGCAAATTCAATAGGATCTAACAACATATATTTCTTTTCATCTGTAACAAGGATTGCTTATTTGCTTCATTTTTAATTAAAAACATTTTTTTTAAAAAAGAAAAAAATATTTAAATGATTAAAAAATTAAAATGTAAGCCTAAAATTTCGGCGCATAATTGAAAAATTGACTTTTAGAGTGACACATAAACGAAGGATGTTTATCATTATTTTCATATCTAATGTACTGGGACCTATAAAAATCGTCGTATAAATGAAAAAGGTGCATAAAAGAGGTGGTGCATAGGTGAGAGGTCACTGTATTAGCTACTTAAAGCAAATCGGGGAGATTATCAAACGGTACTCTGCTGACGCCGGCTGATTCAACGCCTCCTACAACTGAAAGCCTCCACACGGTTTTTTATAAGTAGTCCAATCAGACCACAGTAAAGGATATCCACTTTACGAACGAGTCATTTATTACAAAGTCTAGTTAAAATAAGAAAGTGGTAGCAAATATATGACTAAAAATTTGTTTTATTTATGAATATGATTGGTTTGCCTTATTCACTTGTTAACCACTACAGATTCAATTCTCAAATATATATGACAAATTTCTCTCAATTACTTTTATAAAAGGTTTTGGGTTCATGCGCACAACTGGTTCACTTTTTAAATAGACTGCGCGGACTACTTATAAAAGACCGTATGGAGGCTTTTTGATGTAGGAGGTGATGACTGATTACGGCGCTCGTATACTCAGGGCATTGCGTGGATGCCGGCTAGAAAAAGGCATAAGCCAGTGTATGAAAATGTCCCTCCAATTGTTATTATAGTATGCAACACAAATAGAAGTAATATGTAAAATTTACATACTATCATTTTTGGGTTAAAAAATCAAAGCAGTTTATGTACTACTTGTTCAACCACCGATTTACAAATTATTTTCACACTGATAAACTATTATTAAAAGGAAACACTTTTGCCTTCTTTCATCTGGCGGGCACTACAACTAACAGAAAGCTATGAATTTTTAGAGAGCCCTGAAAGGCCAATAACTAATAGCTTTTTGACAAAATTTCTTTCTAGAGTGACTAAAGTTACCCCGGTAGACGGCACAATTTTACTTTCTATTAACCAATGTTATTTGCTACTTTACGTTGGTGATTCTTGTTTCAGGTGAGGACCATGAAGCTTTTCTGCGTTCTTGTTGTTTTCAGCGTGATTGCTGCCTCTTTGGCTAGTTTCCCTCCGTCAGCCTGTAGACTTCAACGCAAGATGGTAACAGACGCAGGTAAGTCGGCATTTAAAAATTCGAGCGAGTTTCGAAAGCTACAAATTTTATCTATACCTTCAATTCTAAATTACTTATGCAGGTGAAAGAAAATTGGTCACAAATAGTTTCTTCCGCAGTATAGTGTCCATTTAAACAAAGATAATGACAACATTTATCTCAGACACCATCTCCATTTTTCAAGTGAATGTCTGTCAGCCCTCTTATTGATAAAGTGGTCTTTTAAAAAGGGCTATTCTAATTAGTATTATTATTTAAATTTTAAGACCCGTTGGACTCCTGATTATGGCACTATTAAGTTAGCTGAGCAGAGTCCTGAAAAAAATAAAAAATTAACAGAAAAAAAAATTGAAATTTCAACATTTAATCTTATAATTAATAAAAAAAGGAAAAATTTCTGTCAGAGAATATCTAAAAGGGATTTCTGTTCTCAGAGTATTTAATTGGAAATGTAGAGTACGGAGTCTTTAAACATCCGTTTAAAAACTTTACAACCAGTGCTTTAGTTTTTTTGGAAGACTGGTCAGTTCAGGCCGCGATGTTTGTCCAGACAGAAAATTGAAGGAGAATAGTTTACAATAAATTTTCTTCTATTTGATATTGGTAAAAGTGAAGGAAGTTTTACAAAAAACTAATAATGTAAACTGTAAAGACAAAACAGGTAATAAGAAAATATTTATTTCCTGTTCATCGAATATTATTATCGAACATAAAACAATTTGGTATGACATTTAAATAATTTAAAGCGTCCAATAAATCCATGTGCTGACTTGAGATAAGTATTAACACTAGGTTTACGCGACGCGTTGTTTTGACGCATTTCAAATTTCATAAGGAAAGTTACAAAACCCGTTTGCATTTTTATTTTATCTCTTGTAATGACTTTTATTCATTGATCGAGGTAAATATATATTGAAGTCTATTTTCTTCAAAAGCGTTGAAATATTGAAATACTCTTTGTGGTATAACTATCTCTACGGACATGCGTCAATTTGACGCGATAGTAATTTAGACAAAATTTTGAGTAAACATCCAAACATCACATCAATAATAAATAGGATTGTACCGACAATACTTCGATTCTTTATCCGATATCGTTATCTCAAATGAAACAAGCGATAAACAACTGTTGCCGATAAGCAAAGATAGAAAGAACAAACGCAGAATGTCAATTGATTTCAGATTTCGAAGGTTTCAGTTGTTTAGATCGAGTACTAAAAAATAATACACGAGAATATTTCATAAATATATATCTCATATTTTCTTCTTATAGTATATAATTACATTGCTTACTNAAAAAATGCTGGAATGAAATTTTTTACGTACCAGGTTTTTCTCTTTTCCGTCTTGCTATATAAGGGTCCTGCTATATATGCAAGATTTCCGTCTTGCTATATATGCTTTCACCCATGCTTGAGATAAGTATTAACACTAGGTTTACGCTTGCGTCGTTTTGACGCATTTCAAATTTCATAAGGAAAGTTACAAAACCCGTTTGCATTTTTATTTTATCTCTTGTAATGACTTTTATTCATTGATCGAGGTAAATATATATTGAAGTCTATTTTCTTCAAAAGCGTTGAAATATTGAAATACTCTTTGTGGTATAACTATCTCTACGGACATGCGTCAATTTGACGCGATAGTAATTTAGACAAAATTTTGAGTAAACATCCAAACATCATATCAATAATAAATAGGATTGTACCGACAATACTTCGATTCTATATCCGATATCGTTATCTCAAATGAAACAAGCGATAAACAACTGTTGCCGATAAGCAATGATAGCAGAATGTCTATTGATTTCAGATTTCGAAGGTTTCAGTTGTTTAGATCGAGTACTGAAAAATAATACACGAGAATATTTCATAAATATATATCTCATATTTTCTTCTTATAGTATATAATTACATTGCTTACTAAGTGCGGAGATGCCAACTGCTCCGGACATGCCAAAATAATTAATTAACGGTAAATAAATACTATGTAAATTTTGAAAGTTAAAAAGTGGTGAATTATATAAGTCTATGAATTATTTAGAAATAGTGGTGGATAAAAATCTACTAACTTAAATTTATTTAACCAAGAGTCACAATTGATAAACTACCACTTTAAAATATATGTTTGCTGTCAGGAGCAAGTTGGCATCTCTGTAAGTGCTGTTATATGTATTCGTTCATGAGTCAAATTGACGCGAATATTGAATCGCGACAATTGAATATATATATATATATATATATACACATTTAACCCTTTGGGGACGGGTGATTCAGAAAAGCATTCGTATAAAAACAGAATCAGGTTGTAATTAAATAAAAAACGGTAACTTAAATGTAGTCGTTACTAATTTGAAAGACTCACTTTGCAATTACTCTAATTATTGTTAGTTTACTCACATATATAATCAATGTTAATTCAAAGTATAACTAAATAGTTTTATTTTGAACAAAGTATTGGTGACTTAAATAAATCAAACAATTATAACTCCTCCCACAAATAAACTGCTAAAGAAATACTTTGATTACCAGTTTTATATTTTTATCCTGATTGATGCGGTTTTATGCTGTCACGTATTTGTGACAGTCGGCGCGAAAGGGTTAAAGTATAATGTAATATATGTCTTTAGCGTAATATAATAAGTCTATCGGAAAATTAGGAGCATGGGGCTCTTCTGGAATTGTGAGAAGTGCCTTTATAAAGAAAGTGGTTTCGAGTTTGCCTTCGGTTACCACAGAAAAAACTCCCGTACTGAATGGGAAAATCAAAGAATGTTTTTAAACGTTTTTAGTTGCCTAGCAAAGAAGAAAAATATGATAGAATTTCGTCTGAATTAGTGTATTATTTGAAATAATTTTCCTTGAACACCATTTTAGACTCCTTGAGTAAGAGCTCAAAGAAGCTGAATTTGTTTGCGAGTAGTAGCGAAATTCGCGGTTTAATATTTCAAATGAAATAACGATAAGACAGTAAAAATAAATTAAAAGTATTTTTAGAATTGAAATTGATATAAAAATCGTAATTGATATAAGGGGAAGAAAAACTAATTTAACATATAAAAAATTTATATAAATTTTAATGAGATATTTTTTTGTTGGTGGTTAGTATATTTACCACGACCTAATAGGAACTTATTGACTTTTATTTTCGTTATTTATAAACTGAATTTTACAAATGCTAGAAACTTCAAAAGGAATTATGTATTTTATAACTTTTATACGTTTTTTTAAACTTACGAATAGTTTCTTAAACTAAAAAATGTCGATTAAAAAAAGTGGTGGTGAGTATACTTACCACGGCCTTCGAAAGGGTTAAACTACTCCTACATATGTATGAAAAACTTGCCTTTACGGCGTGAAGGTAGCGGGTTCGAAACCGGCTATTACCCTAGATGTATCTATGTAATGGCCATCTCTAACTTGGACTGATTGTTTTTCTACTAGACAAGTGTTTTACAACAAATAAAAAAGAACACATTAAGTAAAAATATCACGTAAATAAAATCAGAAAATAATATGTAAAGAAAAAATAGAATGAAACATAAAACGAAATCTATAAAGCGAGTAGCGTATTCAGATGAACATACATGAACGGGAAATTTTTTAAAGAATGATTTAAAATATTTTCGGAGCAAGATTGCGAGATTACAAAATATGAAAACAGAAACGCAAATTGAGGTAAAAGCGGTACTGAAGTGAGTTTGATTTGTTAGTTACCAAAGATGGGCGGCCCGAAAATAGATGTACGCAAGGTAATATTATACTGGATAATTTAAAGAAGTTGACAATAAATAATTTTTTTATTAATTGTCATTATTATTTTTTAAAATTTATTGTTTTCTTTATTTTCTTCGTTTTTGTTTTCTTTTTATCATTTTTGTGTGTGTATATATATATATATATAAAACTGCGAGAAGTAAACACGAAAGATTTATAAAGATCAGTATTTTAAGTTTGAATTTTTTAAATGCTATTTTACTTAAATTAAATAAATTGGAGTATTAACTCTTTACAAATATTGCAAACAATTAAAAGAATAATTGATATCACAAGATAATAGTTATTTTAACTTGCATTTTATGCATAATTCGAGTTGACTAAAAATACAAAATGTGGTGCCTAAAACAAAATTCAGAACTTATTTAAACGAGGTTAAAATTAGCCATTCATTAGAGCACATTGTTTTCAGCTTACCTTTGAAAGTGAATTAAAAAAAAACGTTCGATCACAGTTCAAAATTCAGGACGCTGCCACTAAACGGCATTAACTGATTCGTCTGATTTTTGAGATTAATAATGGATAGGGGGATGTGTGAAGTGGGAATAGAATCAGATTAAAGAGGGGATGCCATGTACCAAATACTAAAGTCATAGTGGGAAACCAGTTGGTTGACCATATGATGAAATCAATAAGAAATTAAGCATAATTGAGATTGAGAACTGGATAAGAATACAATAATATTTGCAGGGATCAGAATAATATTAACCTTTATGCAGGTGCAATAAAATAGAAAATAATAGATAAAATAGATACAACTATTTACATATTTACCTGAGACTAACAAAAATATGTCAACCACAAAGGAATGGTTATATAAGCAATAGATAGTCTGGCAACAACTTTGTCTGCGACTTTGTTATAGTGATGACACAGGCATCCTGGTAATATCACACTATTACCAACTTATCGTCCCAACGGCTGCGACTTTGGGTTCAATGCATATAAAGGTTTTATTTTAAGAATAATTGAGCTGTGATGGCTCTGCCTTTCAATGAGGTTAACGATGGCTGCTTGAATTCCACTTCCGGTTTGCACCGACCACAGGACTGACGTAAAATATCCCCGGTAGACGGATCATGAGTTTGAGTCTCCTTGCCGTCGAGCTAAGTTGTACGTGGTTTTCATCTCCATATAACGCAAATGCTGTTTAGTTCCATCCAAAAGTCCTGCACCAAGGCAAATTTTATCCAATACTTGGTCCAGAAGTGCTCCTGTCTTCTGGA